AATTTAAGTTAAGTTTGCTTTTAAAAAACGAACTGCTCAAAAACATTGTCAGCGATAGCATGTCTTCTTGATGAATTAAGCAAGGTTGCAAAATTGAACATCCGTTCAACTACAGCTGATGATGGTAAGTTGGTGTTGTATTTTATAAATACTTGTTTAATTAACTTATAATTATGGAGCATTTCTTTATTAGTTCTTCTATCTTCCAAGTACTGTAACTCTAACTCTAATTTATTTCTTACTAAATCCTTTTATGATTCGAATGTTTTTTTGTATTTATCATAATTTTGATGAATTTGAATGAATTTTCATCTTCTTTGAGATAAAAAAAATTATTGCCAGGTTGTACACCAGTTAAAATTAGGTTATCATCACTTCCTTCCAGAACATCGCCATCAAACAAACCACAACATTTGTTTATAATAAGTTTTAAGAACAATTCTTTGTTTAATATATGATCAATTTCCTGATAAACATTCAGCCACCGCAATTTAATGGACGATATCATTACTGACGCAATTATAGCCTCAAGAGAATCATCAGTCATTGAAAATAAATTCAATCATCATTCACAAAAATAGTTAGCATACCTAAAGTAGTTAACAATGAGGAGTTAACTACTTTCTGCGAATATTTTATGTCAGCATAAAATAATCGAATAACAACTACTTTTACACAAAAAGTAGTTGACTACGTAGTTAACTACTGCCCAGCTCTGCTCTCAAGACGGCTAAACCCGAATGATTCTAGTTCTAGGTCTTGTCTTAGTTCTAGTGATAGTGCTACTATAAAACTAGAACTAACACTAGATCGAGAACTAGAAACATTCGGGTTTAGCCGCACGTCTCTCAAGACAGCTAAACCAGAATGATTTTAGTTCTAGGTCTTGTTTTAGTTCCAGTGATAGTGCAATACTAGAACTAACACTAGACCGAGAACTAGAAACATTCGGATTTAGCCGCACGTCTCTTAAGACGGCTAAACCCGAATGATTCTACTTCTAGGTTTTGTGTTAGTTTTTGTGATTGTGCTAATGCAATACTAGAACTAACATTAGACCGAGAACTAGAAACATTCGGATTTAGCCTTTATTCGGATTTAGTCTTGTGTTAGTTCTTGTGATTGTGCTAGTGCAATATTAGAACTAACACTAGACCTAGAACTAGAAACATTTGGGTTTAGCCGCACGTCTCTCAAGACAGCTAAACGAGAATGATTGTAGTTTTAGGTTTTGTATTAGTTCCAGTGATAGTGCAATATTAGAACTAACACTAGACCGAGAACTAGAAACATTCGGATTTAGCCGCACGTCTCTTAAGACGGCTAAACCCGAATGATTCTAGTTCTAGGTATTGTGTTAGTTCTTGTGATTGTGCTAGTGCAATACTAGAACTAACACTATCCTAACGAATATTCGNTTTTAAAGGTAACTAGTTTCTAGTTAGCAGTCAACAACTGTTTGAACTGTAATTATGCTTAAAAGTCAGATTCTTTTGGTAGAAAAACACAAAACTGAAACTTATGAGGTAGGTATTAAGATTATTTAAAAATTTAAAGTTATTTAAAAAATATAAAATATAATAAACAAATATACGTAGAATCTTGTAACTTTGAAAGCTGCTTTTAATTTAAGTTAAGTTTGCTTTCAAAAAACGAACTGCTCAAAAACATTGTCAGCGATAACATGTCTTCTTGATGAATTAAGCAAGGTTGCAAAATTGAACATCCGTACAACTACAGCTGACGATGGTAAGGTGGTGTTGTATTTTATAAATACTTGTTTAATTAACTTATAATCATGGAGCATTTGTTTATTAGTTCTTCTATCTTCCAAGTACTGTAACTCTAACTCCAATTTATTTCTTACTAAATCTTTTTATGATTCGGATGTTTTTTTTGTATTTATCATAATTTTTTGAATTTTCATCTTCTTTGAGATCAAAAAACATATTCCCAGGTTGTACATCAGTTAAATTTAGGTTATCATCACTTCCTTTCCAGAACATCGTCATCAAACAAACCACAACATTTGTTTATAATAAGTTTTAAGAACAATTTTTTGTTTAATATATGATCAATTTCCTGGTAAACATTCAGCCACCTCAATTGAACGGTATCATTACTGACGCAATTATAGCCTCAACAGAATCATCATTCATTGAAAATAAATTCAATCAGCATTCACAAAAATAGTTAGAATACCTAAAGTAGTTAACAATGAGGAGTTAACTACTTTCTTAACTACTTTCTGCGAATATTTTATGTCAGCATAAAATAATCGAATAACAACAACTACTTTTACACAAAAAGTAGTTGACTACGTAGTTAAGTATTGCCCAGCTCTGCTCTCAAGACGGCTAAACATGAATGATTCTAGTTCTAGGTCTTGTCTTAGTTCTAGTGATAGTGCTAGTATAAAACTAGAACTAACACTAGATCAAGAACTAGAAACATTCGAGTGTAGTCGCACGTCTCTCAAGACAGCTAAACCAGAATGATTCTAGTTCTAGGTTTTGTGTTAGTTCCAGTGATAGTACAATACTAGAACTAACACTAGACCGAGAACTAGAAACATTCGGATTTAGCCGCACGACTCTGAAGACGGCTAAACCCGAATGATTTTAGTTCTAGGTCTTGTGATTGTGGTAGTGCAATACTAGAACTAACACTAGACCGAGAACTAGAAACATTCGGATTTAGCCGCACGTCTCTTAAGACGGCTAAACCCGAATGATTCTAGTTCTAGGTCTTGTGTTAGTTCTTGTGATTGTGCTACTGCAATACTAGAACTAACATTAGAACGAGAACTAGAAACATTCGGATTTAGCCGCACGTCTCTTAAGACGGCTAAACCCGAATGATTCTAGTTCTAGGTTTTGTGTTAGTTTTTGTGATTGTGCTAGTGCAATACTAGAACTAACATTAGACCGAGAACTAGACACATTCGGATTTAGCCGCACGTCTCTTAAGACGGCTAAACCCGAATGATTCTAGTTCTAGGTATTGTGTTAGTTCTTGTGATTGTGCTAGTGCAATACTAGAACTAACACTATCCTAACGAATATTCGGATTTTGTCCCACGTCTCTCAAGACGGCTAAACCCGAATGATTTTAGTTCTAGGTCTTGTGTTAGTTCCAGTGATAGTGATGGTGCAATACTAGAACTAACACTAGATCTAGAACTAGAAACATTCGGATTTTGCCGCACGTCTCTCAAGACGGCTAAACCCGAATGATTCTAGTTCTAAGTCTAGTGTTAGTTCTAGTTTTAGTTCAATGTAAATATGCAACATAGTCATATCTTACGTTAACTAGCGCTATCTACTATCACTAGAATTAACATTAGACCTTGAACTAGAAACATTCAAACATGTTGCATTTTATGTGCGACAAAATCATTAGGTACGCCCTGGTTTTTATAGAAATATATTATGTCGTTGTATTTCGACATTTTGAACGAAACATGAATAACTCGAAATTAGTGACATTAGTAACTTTTGTGTCAAACTTGTTGGAAGTTATACCAACTGTAAATAAGTAAAATTACTAAAATATACTTAAATTATTATTTCTAAGATAATAAATATTATAAGTGGAAATTTTTAGGCTTTTTCTTATCTAAAAGGTTAATATTTTAAGTATCTTATGTGATATATCATAAATTTATCTAAAAATAAACGGAGTGTTCCAAACTCAATCCAATAAATCACGTTATCCTGCATAATAATACACAGCAGATATAAAGTATGACAACACCGTTTTTTTTTTCTTAAACCGTTAACATCCACAAACAATCTGTTATTTAAACTACCAATTAACATTGGTAGTCAAACAAGAAAAAACTGTTCTTTATTTCAAAGAATTTAAAGTAAAAATTCCTCCAATATCTTAAAATTATAGTTCAAAAAAAATTATTTATCATAAATAATTTTTGTTTTAAAAAAGAATACAAATAATGGCTAAATCAGAAGAACTCTAGTCACAACTGTTACATCAGAAACTTTCACAAAGCGAAACTCCACGTTACCTACAATCGTGTGAGAGAAAAAAAACCGTTTCCTGATCATTTTACATATTGTACAAGCGACGTTTAAAAGCTTATTCATCTCATTCCATTTTAAAATTAAACTTTAAGAAAAAAAGAAACTGGCTCGACTTTGACGCGTTAAGACCTTGTAATTCGATAGGTTTTTTGCGGACCCAACAACAATTCGAGGCTGTCCAAGCAACTTTTTATAAACAATACTAACCACATTGTATACGCATATTTCTAAATACATTACAAAATATTAACGTCACAATTAATTAATATATTTTTTGTTAATCTTCCAAGATCATTTCATGGTGCATCTGAAGATCCTTTACAATTCACACTTGATTCTCATCACGTAACGGGAATTACGTGTTGGTTTCCGACCTTTATTCATCATACATTCACATCGCGTTGATCGTATTAGACTCCGATTTAAAACGTGATCTTTCTTAAAATTGTTCAATTAGTAATACAGATGATACTTAAGAATTTCAAAAATTTTACTAAAAATGTACTCGTTTTAATTCAAATTAAATCCAACATTTCCTGGTCTTTTAACCGGAAATACAAGTTCACAGCTACTCAATTAGAACGAACATAATAGTGAAGTTCCGAGGAAATTCCCGTTTTCTCCAATAAAAAAAAATAAAAGGAAATACTGTTATTCTTAAAAAACGGTTAAATTTTATTAAAAAATTCTTTAAAATGTTAAAACTAAAGGTTGTAGCAGCACTTTCACGTTGCATAATGAACCGCGTAACGGGTTCTTATTTCTTAATACAAGAAGAAATTTGAAATGATTAAAATTTTCGATTCATCAAGTTCCAAGAATAACTAAAAGTGGGTAAGCGGCGTCTTCACGTAAACGAGGTCAGGTACACGATACGTTACGAAGAAGATTAAAGTTGAGAGATACCGAAATGAAAATCACGTTCAAAAAAAAAAAAATAAGTTCAAAAAGCTTTACCTTTACGCTAAATTTATTTTTAAAAACGTATCTCCACATATCCCTTTTCAATTCGACTCTTCTTGCATGAAGGAGGTTCCTCTAAGAACTTTGTGTCAGCACACCATATTGATACCTAAAGAAATATCGTTGGGAGAACGAGAGGTGAATATGATTTTAGTGATTTCAAGGTGATTTCTTTAAGTGTTTTGGCACTGGTCACTTAACAAAAATTGATTTAGGCACTGAACACAAAGTCGCGAAATCTTAAAATGTTAGTTGTTGCTTCGCGTCTTATTCATGTTAGGAGTAAAAGAAGAAAAATTGCAAAACCCGATATAACCGCACCTGCTTCGTTCTACCCACGACTTACTTCTTGAGGTACGCGGAGCAATACCAGGTATAGGAAAAGAGAAGAGGTAGAAGGTCCGCTGTCCGTTGGTTGGAAGGAGCTTGATTTTACTACCTTTCTATAGTTACCAGTCATATTTGGTTGCGTTTTATGAAGATGTAAGGCGTTTTGAATACAAGAAAATTTTGATTTATATTATAAAAATCAAAAAAAAATTTTAAAAAATAAAATGGTAAAAAAAATCTTAAGATTGCAATAAAATTTATTAATCTCTTCAAATTTGAATAATGATTTATTCAATTTAACATGCTAAACACTTTCGTAATTGGAAGTAATTTGAATTGTTTGGTTTTGTTTACTACTTCCTGTAGGAATACTGAATAGGTGATTCAGCGAATGAATCATGAAATAATGTTTAATTGGTTGCCTATCGAGAAGGAAGTAAAATTATTGAATTTAACATTTAACCCAGCGTTTCTCAACGTTTCAGTATTCGGGCCCCAATTTTCAATAACAATTTTTATGGCGCCCCCCTACCTTTCTTTTGCGTCATTTGTACAGGGTGTCCCGTTAAGCGTACGACATCGGCAATTGTCGATGTCTGGTTTTGTGATCGCATATCGGCACTAGAAGAACTACTTTTCTGCAAATCTATAGAACTCAAAGCAACAGCACTCGCTTTGTTTGATATTTTAATTGATTTTATTAATGAGGCAAACATAGAGTGGAAGAATTGCGTTGGAATATGCACCGATGGTGCTTGTACAATATCTAGAAGATTCCAAAGCGTAAAAGCACTTGTGAAACAAAAATCTCCGCAATGTGTCTGGACACCGATCATCTATAGAAAGGCTCTGGTTTCCAAAGAAATGAGTCCTGGTCTCAACATTGTGCTAACGCCGGTTGTAACTAGTAACTTATATAAAAATGAGACCCGTAAAATTAAGTAAAAATAATCACTATTTAGTTATTTAATCACTTTTCTAGAAGAGGAAAACCGCCTGGAAGCCAAAAAGTTTCGAGATGCTTTATTTGTGATGAAATTGGTTATATATTCGAGAAATTAAATACCCTGAATCTACAACTCCAAGGAGCAAACACACATATGTTGGATAGCAGTGATAAAGTTAGTGCTTTCTGTAGAAATTTGGAGCAGAAATGTGAAACAAAAAAAACTAGAAATGTTTGCAAATGTGAATGAGTGTGTCAAAACATACAAGGAAGAAGAACAGTATGTGAAAGTTGTTTTTGTAACAATAGAAAGTCATTTAGCCATGTTGGCACACAATTTTAAAAAGTATTTTCTTGCTGACGACAAAATGGTAGCAAGTTACGAGTGGGTTAGGGATCCATTTCGAACTACTCACGAAGGTCTCTCAAGTGCAGAAGAAGAAATCTTCATACACTTTACTGCAAGGGGCGAAATTTAGTAATAGAGAGAATTTAGTAATAAAACTCTCTTTGAATTTTTGGCGGGAGTGGATGATGCATTTTCTCCACTGAAAACAAGAGCATTTCGTGTATTATTGCCATTTTCAACATCCTACCTTTATGAAGCCGGATTTTCTGCGGTGGCTGCTTTAAAGACAAAATATAAGACTCGACTGAATATAGACCAAAGAACTGAGAGTGGCTATTTGTAATATAAAACCTTCTTTTGAAAAACTTTGCTGTGCGAGACAGGCCCAAGGAAGTCACTAATAATTATAATCATTACAGCTACTTTTAATTTAGTACTGATGAGTCTATTATTAGTTTCATTTGGCATTTGACAGTACCTACTGATACAATCATATTTATAGTAATTAAATACATAGGTAGTAGTACGAGTGTATTAGTTTAAAGGTGTACTGACTTACTTAAATTTTTGGAATGTCAGAATGACATTAATTTTTTATTAGTAATTATCTTTTTTTTTCATTTTGATGTGTTGGCGTCCCCCATGTAGAATTGTGACGCCCCACAGGTTGAGAAACGCTGATTTAACCAATATAAATTGTTTTCGAAATTTAAAGATATATAGACCGATCTTTTAACAATTTAGATGTTGTTTTGGTTGTATAAGTTAATTGAAATAAAAATGTCAAATTTGGTTCCTTAGAAATTGGTAATAATTAATTTTAGCTGAGGCATCCAAGACTATCGACATCTATATAGCAATTTACGTAATAAGCTAGAAACAAAATGATAACTTGAACCTTCATAGATGAATAAATCACAGTCTCAATATAAACACTTTTATTCTTCTAGCATATTTTTCAGTAGCGATGTCAATATAGCAGTAACTAGTATTTTGCAAATAAAACAGTTTTGTATTAGCAGCACCTAGACTTCTATCAGTAGTGTCTATATTCCTAACAGCAGCGGTATTCAGTATTTTCAGCGCAATGCCACGATAGTTTCGACATGCAAGAGAACAAGAAACATTCGGATTTAGCCGCACGTCTCTCAAGACAGTTAAACCAGAATGATTCTATTTCTTGGTCTTGGTTAGTTCTGGTGATAGTGCTAGTGCAATACTAGAACTAACACTAGACCTAGAAAGATTCGGATTAAACCAGAATGATTCTAGTTCTAGATCTTGTGTTAGTTCTAGTTTTAGTTCAATAAAGATGTGCAATATAGTGATATTTTATGTTAACTAGCGCTACCTACAGCTGTCGGTAGAACTAGAAACATTCAGACATGTTGCAACAGTAACAAAACAGTCTTGTATTAGCAGCATCTAGACTTCTATCAGTGATGTCTATATTCATAACAACAGCGGTATTCAGTATCTAGCGCAATGTGGTAGTTTCGACATGCAAGCTTGTCTCCTTTCTTGTATATGCGGCATACCGCGTTTCTCCATACCTCGGGCAAGCTTTCTTCTTCTCAAACCCTCTACAGCGGTGTATAAATTCTCCTTGCAAACTCCTCACCTCCACCCTTCAGCACTTCCGCTGGTATGCAATCGATCCCTGGTGCCTTCCCGTTTTTAAGCGCCGCAATTGCGTTTTGAATCCCACCGATGGATATGGGCTCCGTGGTCTTCTCCTCTTCTTGGTTTATTATATCATTGTCCGCCTCCGTTTTGGATCCCATATTTAGTAAGTTCTGGAAATAATATTTCCAGGTGTTTTCTACCTTACTATCTTACCTGTTTCGTCTCTGCATAGAGCTGTGTGGGCTTTACATCCTTGTCTCAACCGTTTAACAAACTTATACGCACTCCTAGTATCGTTGGCTTTAAAATCATTTTCCATGTTCAGTATTCGGTTGTTCTGGTATTTCCGTTTCTATCGTCTGCATATCTTGTTCGCCTCCCTTCTCGGCTTCTTGAATAGTTCCTCTCTCTCTTATTAGTCTAGCTATGAATTTATTGTGTTCCTCATTTCTTCTTGCAATGCTCTCTGCATATGCGTCATCAAAACAGATCGCTGCGATGCCTTTTCCACTGCTTTATTAATAATACTCTCTATCGTCTGCCTTCATTTATCCTTACTTCTATTTCCCTCATCTATCCGTGCTGCACTTCCAGTGTTTTCAGTCATTTCGTCGTTCGGGCTTAATGTTAGTAATTTTACACCTTAATGTTGTCTGCACCAGAAGCAGGCTCCTCTTCTTGTTTTTACATCTATGATGCTTAAGGTAAATCTTCTGTCTATCATCACATGGTCTATTTGATTACTAATGATGCCATCAGGTGAGATCCATGTCGCCTTATGTATGCTCCGGTGTGAGAGGTAGCATGTTGAGCTAATGACCATGTTCCTTCCGGTCACAAGTCCGATTACCAACCCTTCGCTTTTGTTAGTCTCGTCGTGCAAGCTATGCCTCCCTATGGTCCTCCAATATTCGGCCTCTCTGCCAAGCTTTGCATTCATGTTCCCAAGTATTATCTTCATGTCGTTTCTAGGGGCCGTATCATATACCTGTTCTAATTGTTGGTTAAATAGCTCTTTAACAGTATTTTATTAAGAGGCTACTTTACCATACAGCTCAGCAAATTACAAAAAACATACATTATTTATGAAAATATTTGGATGAAATTTTGTACATAGCTTCTTCTAACAATTCTACATAACGCATGGTGAAAATTTTTAAAGTTTTCCAAAAAAAGGGGTTTTTTTCCTCAATATTATAGAATTTGGTCGTTCTTTTTTAGCTTGCATGATAGTATACTTGAAAATAGTAACATTTTTCAAATAAATTTTTTCAAAATTTTTAGTTATAAAGGAATAGTTTGTAATTTGCTAAAATTGCAATAAGGTAGCGTAAAAATGAATATTTTCCGTCAAGATTCCCACGAAGTATTACCACCGCGTTAGTCCCGCCTCCTGCCGACTGAGCGGCGCTGACATCGACTCTCTTCATCGAAGCTCCTTGTTTTATCTATTACTTTTTAATGTGGTAGAGAAAATAATCATTTCCAAAAGTACGTTTTGAACTTTATTTTCCGTGATTTTCTACTAATGATTGTGTAATTTAACAAAATTTTTGAATTTATAGTCAATAGTTGTTATTTTATTGTGTACTATAGTGTTAGTTTAATTTAGTTTGTGTAAAGTTTTTATAAACAATGGGTAAGTATGTTCATCTAAAAAACTACCCCTTAGCATTTGAAGATGTTCTCGAAAAAGGAGTAATAGACGGTAATAATTTACGATATAAATTTTTATAAAATCTAAAATTTCATATTTTATAGTCCGAGATTCAATTGAAAAATGTATTCATTCCGAAAGGTAAGTTAAATTTTATTAATTTTATTGTATAAACTGTGGCACACATAAAAAGGACTTATTTAAAAAGAATAAACCATCACAGTAAAAATTAAAACGATACATTATTTGAAGCGATACCATAAGATAAATAATACAAATGATGCAGAACCAAATACTGATGGTGGAGAATAATTCATTCAACTGCAACAAAACTCGCATTAAATTTATTAATGAGTCAAAAGCAGGGCTTAGCAGCTCATTTCTTTTATGTTTTATGTGCGGGATAAAAAAGAAGCTTACACTGAAGAAAGCAAAGAGTCTATTGAGATAAACTCTGCTGTTGTTTCTGTTATCTGTCGGTACCGGATATACACAGGCTGAAGAATTATTGTTATGTGTTTGTTATTTA